TTCGGCGAGGTCTCACTCGCCATCTTCAGGCTGGGTTTTGGGCTTAAAGCGTGGTCGGACGGGGATTCGAACCTGGGTTGTATTGCATCTTAGGCAGATGTGTTAACCATTAAGCCACAGAGTTCGACTCCTTATCAGCCAAGCCAGGGTGATAGGTATCTATTTAGAGTTACAACCCCCGGTATGGGCAAGATTCCCACAAATGCTCACCATTACCACTTTAAATCTGTTTTGTCTATGAGATATATCGCAATGAGATTTGGAGAGGAGACATCTTCAATGGTCTAGATCAGCAGGACAGATAATCTATGTCATTCCAAAGATTGTTGGATTGCGATTGCTCTTCTGCTTCATGATTAAATATGCTAGCGAGGACTCATGGTTGCTCAATATCATTTGGAAGGTCACATCTGTCTATGCCTGATTGAAATGGTGGGATACGACCGGTACGCTCCGGTACGGGCATACTGGTGCCTGTTGGGAGCACCAGGTACCATTCTGGTATGATGCTCCGGAGGGCCCACCCGCCTGCCCGTTCTCCTAACTGCTATTTGAGCCGATCGGGGCTTTCGCACACATGCACGGAGCGTACGGTGCCTGCGTGATGCTCCGCCGAGCAGCTGGAGCATCGCAGGCGGTAAGTAAGCATGCGTGCGCTGCATGTGTGTTGCGCGCATTCATGTGGTGGACGCTGGGCCCCATTGCAGCGTACTGGTTGCAATGGGACCCAGAACCCACCGCTGTTCCCTTCCTATGGGATTCCTTCAGCAGCTACCATTTTTATATGAAATCCTTTTCCAGTTGGCTTCCATGTATCATTGCAGAAATCCCAGAACATGTAATGCTGGATCCAGTGCCAATAATGGAGGTGGGCAAAGCGTATAATCTGACGTGCCGAGTTGCCAATGCTGCTCCCATCCAGCTCCTCACTGTGACAGTGTATAAAGGAACAGAAAAACTCCATGTAGAGACCTTTGAGAACCACACTGCTCCTGAAGCAAGGGACATCCGAGTGACCTTCCCCATAACTGCGCAGCAGGACAATCACATGGAGGAAGTCACCTGCCACGTTGCCCTGGACCTGAGGCCTCGAGGGCAGCTCCTTGAGAAGACGTCGTTCAGCGAAGTGCTAAAAGTCTTTGGTGAGTTGCAAGTTTCTCATTGTACATTCTTCATCTTCTCCAGAATGAAGCTTCGTCCTCCCAATTAAAAGGGGCGAATAGTTGTCAAATTGGAAAGAAAAGAAACATTAAAAGCTATCATTCCTCCCAATATCTGGGATTCTTATTTGCTCAGAAAGAGAGGAGTGGGTGTCTCAGTGGTGGGTTTCCAAAAAATTTCGAACCTACTCTGTGGGTGTGGCCTCCTTTGTGGGTGTGGCTTGCCGGCCATGTGCCCT